TATATATATATATATGATTTTATTTAAAATGTAATTTTCTTTTTACAAAAATTTTAAATGAAACACATGTAAAGGACAGCAGGACGTTTTGCTATATATTTGTACATAATAATGAGGAGAGCACTTTACATTACTAAAGTGTTGCCTGGGGTGGTAACTGCCTCCTAGATTGTACATAAATATATGTAGCCTATGCAGCATTTTTCACTTCTAATACCTCATCCTCTGTCAAAGCTTGGTTTACCATATGCCAGAAGACGGCTGTAGCATTAATGTCCTTAGGCCACAGAAGATATGTCTTCTTTTTTACCACACTTCTAAACTGATGATAGAGAGAAAGTCTATGATGGGAGATCTGCTCCAAGAACAGTAAAATCAAAACATCAGCATGTTCATCAAAAAGACGGTAACTGGCGATCTGCATTTCCTTCGAACACCATTCACTATCCAAATAGTGTCTACTGATCACACAAATTGTTTTGCGACTGCAATAAATGTTATCTATAATATTGTCCACAATGGCTTTTCCTGGTTCAAAGTCTCGGTGATGAAGACAGAGCTTCCGTTGGTAAGTTTTTTCAAGGCTTGGTATAAGCTCATTAAAAACCCATTCTTCATCATGACAGTTGTAAGAAATGAAGGCATCATACTCATAATGTTGGCTCTTCCTTTTGTGTTTCTTCTCATGTAAGTAACCAAGGAAAATGTAATAAAAGTACACAACGTGCCATCTCCAGAATTTCCATACTGTCGAAGACAACAACCAAACGCTTATGAACACAGAAGTTGATAGAAATAATATCAAGTCATTACTAGGCCTGCAGTAATCTGTGTTGAAGGTATATAGTCTTTGTCCTTTGTTAGATGGGGGATAAGTACATTGGTACTCATAAAAATTAAGTACTTGGGTTTTTAAATCATCTTGAACCCAATGTATAAACCAATTGTTGTCACAGTTGCAAAACATTGGGTTATCACGCAAGTCCAGGAACTTAAGAGAAGGCATCGCGTTATGATGCGTTTCATTAAAAAAGTTTAATTGGTTCCCTGAGGCTCGAAGAATATTTAACTTGGAAAGATTTAAGCCAACCAAAAAGTCAAGTGATGTAAGAGTCATTTTTTTTAGATGAAGTTCAGTCAAATTAGGAACTGATTTTAACAGGTTTAAATCCAGGACTGGTATATTATTATCGCCTAAATCAAATTCTTTTAACTGAGGAATGTATGAAAGTAAATTTTTGTCAATGGTGGTCAGGGCTAGATTGCCTAACAGAACCTTGTGTAAAGATACCAAGCCTTCAAGTAAGTTGACTGGCACATTCCTCATTCCATTATGACCCTGACTGTTAAGAGTAAGAATCTTTAATGATTTCAAAGAATGGAATGGTGGCACAGTTAGTTTTTCCGAGGATTCATATTCTATGTCATTGCTGAAAAGTTGTAATTCAACAAGAGATTCAAGTCCTTGGAAAGTATTTTTTTCAAAAGAGGCTGTTGTTAGTTTATTGCTTCCGAGCAGTAATGTGTACAGGTTTTCAGAACCATTGAAAGCTCCTGGTTCTATATCTATTATCTGATTGTCTATCAGATTTAGAAATGTTAAATTGATTAGGTTTTGAAAGGTATTTGCAGACAGATAACTTAACTTATTTGTTCTCAGGATCAGTGACTTAACCTTTCTGAGATTTGTTCCAAATGACTCAGAAATATCTATGAGATAGTTTAATCCCAAGTTTAAATCTTCTAGTTTCCACATTACAGGTGCGGAGGAGTGAAAAACAGAAATCTTGTTTCCAGATAGATCTAGATTTTTCAGTTTGCCAAATGATTTTGTGTCATTTAAATATACTTCTGTGAGATGATTGAAGCTCAGGTTCATTCTTTCCAAGCTGGTCATCTGTGATAAGTCACTGGGAAGAGCTGTTATTCTGTTACGGACCAGTGTTAGCTGCTTAAGAGAAGTTAGATGGGCAAAGGCAGATGCAGGAACATGCAGAAACTGATTGAAAGATATGTCTAGATATTTTAAGCCAGAACATTTTTGAAAAGAATTTATCTGAAATGCACTATAATTATTATACTGAAGGGAAAGGGTTTGGATTTTAGGGTGTTTCATGCATAGTTCTTGGATAATATTGTCAGAGTCAGTTAGGTTTAAATGATCCAGGTTAACTTCCTGCAATGAACTACAGTTAAGGGTTTGGATAACCTCTAATATAGCTGGTGGACTTAAACTTACACCATTAAAGATTATCTTCTTTAACCCCCTCAGGAAGCATGAGTCTTCAATTTTCCATGTAAGAGAAGGGCCAGAAAATGAGATATTTAAGGAAGTAAGTCCCGTTAGGACATCAGAATTAAAAATGACTGAAGCAAGTGGATTTATGGATATGTCAATTGTATGGAGTGAAATTGAAACATTTTGAATATCAGAAGATAGAAAGTTTTCAAGACTAATGTTTGCAATTCTTATCTCTTCCAAACTACTTATCTGAAAAATCAAGCGTAGAGATCCAAGTGTCTGAAGCGGGTTAGCTGACAGATCCAGCACCTTTAGATTTTCTATAGGAGAAAAAGCCATTGGCAGTATAGAAGTGATATTGTTATTGTTCAATAACAGAATGCTAATGTTTTGTAAACCTTCAAAAATATTATTATTTAGCATCATTAAATTGTTATGATTGAGGTTCAGTACATTAAGGGCAGTTAACATCTGAAAACTTCCCTTCTCAACGACTTGGATGTGGTTGTTTGATGCATTTAGTTGTTGCAGATGAGTGACATTGCTGAAATCTGTGGCCTTTATAACTTCAATTCTATTTGAAGAAATATCAAGCATGGATGTTGTTCGAGGAAGATTATCAGGCACATGTTCTAAGCCTCTTCCGTAGCACAGAAGTTTGGGGTTTTGTTGGCCGTGAACGTCACATCCTCGAATTGCAAAGCAGTGTCCTTGCTGGATGGAGGAAAACATGACAATCCATGCTAGTGACAGAAACATTTCTAAGATCTGGTCCATCGGAAAAGCAGATTCTGGTAACAGTAAGAAAAGCAGTCCAAGATAATAAGGTAAACAGACAGGACTCAGCGGGATTTCCTTCCACGTAATAAATACAGTGCACATTCAGCAATGGCGAGAGTCTCACTATTTGTTTTTGCATACTGTTAAACACATTCCAGCAATGTGTCATGTGACCATGAGGCCCCTATTTCCTGAAACACAAAAGAAAAGAACAATTCTTAGGATTCTATTTTCAAACAATTTATTACAAACTTCAGTTGCTTTGCCCCCTACAAATCAAATCTATTTTGTATATAATATGGAATTATTCATTCACCCTGCTTTGGGATAAGTGACCAGAGTTAAAATAATTTCAGTTTCATTACACTCTGGGATACTAATGGAAAAAACTAATTCGGTACATATCAAAATAACCAATTTTACTTTTTGCAGAAAATAAGCAGCATGACATCAATCACGGCTGAGGAGTAGTGGGCTGAAAATCTAGTATATTATACATATGTACAAATAATTAAAATATTGTGTCATTAGGGAGGCACCGAAAATTGGCCAGAAAATGGTACTTTGGGCAAAATGCTGAAAGTTCCACAAAGGCCGAAAATGCAGAGAAAAATTCAGTGCATGCTGACTGCTTCTCTCCTCCCCGCTGGACACCGGTCTGTGCCCCTTCCGATGCCCGCTGCTCTGCCCATGTCGGCAGAAGCTGCTTGGATTCGAGGGGACACAGAACGGTACCCAGCAGGGAGGAGAGAAGGTTTCAGGGAGCCAAGCGCTGAGCCGAATAACCCAGCTGAAGTGAAGTTAGCCGAACACTGTTCAGCTATACACTTCTGGCTTGTATGGCTGATTTCAGCCATACAACAGCTAAAATCAGCCGTACATTGCCTGCCTTCGGCTGCACTTCGGTCAACCAAATATGCTCTGCATGTTCAGCTGAATGCAGAAGGACTTCCACTCAGCTGATCCAACACATGGATCGGCTAAGACGAAGCTCCGGCAGCTCGCTCACTGCCGTTCGCCCCTATTCTCATAGGGGCCGAACGGCGGTGAGTGAATAGCCGAGCGGCATTCGGCTCCGCTGTTCTGCTCGGTACCTCTGTGGTACCGAGCAGAATAGAAAAAGAGTGAAATTAATAAAAGAAAAGTTGAAAAATAATCAAAAAAATTTAAGGAAATAGGAAAATGTCAAAACAATGAAAATAGTTTAAAGAACAGACAGACAAATGTTTTATTTTTGGTTTCGGTCTAAAAATTCCTTGTCGGTGCATCTCTAGTAAGAATCTTTAATAAAAAAAAGATAAGATGCAGAGGCTTTGATCATACTTTCAACCTTTTAGAGATGTGAAGGCAGAATTCAATACAGCACAAAGTATGAAGGCAAAGGACACACCTCTGCCACTCCCCCAGTTGCTCAGAGCTTTAATGTTAATTAATGCGCAAAAAAGTATCGTTTTATTTGTTGTCTATGGAGATAAAAAGTGAGGGTCTTTTGTTACAAATGTCACCAATCAGCCACAGTAAACTTTTCTTAAGGCCTCTGGGCTACTTTTAAATATACCCATGTGGTGAAGTGTGTATACTCTTCACACCCCAGAAGCTAGTGCTCTCCTTGCCTGTCTAACTTTCTAGGTTGTGGCAGGGCCCTCGCCACCCTCCTGTGTAGTGCAGGAGTGCTTGTCCTGTATTTGTACATAATGTCATTAGATACCTGGGACTGACCAGACAGTGAAGTGAAGGGGCTTTGAAGAACTGCTTGCATAAAGAGGAGGAAGTTTGCAAGAGCAAGGAATAAGGTAAGTAATTCAACAGACAAGATGCTTAGAACAGGGGGCACCGCCTAGGTTTAAATACTCCAAGCAGTGGAAGCAGTTTGATTGTCCTCATTCTGAGCATATAATATTGACAGCACTGCCAGAAGGGTATGGCCCTTGTCAGGTTCAAAACGCGTTGTCTTTTTGAAGGCGTCCAGTAGGGCTGCAACAACTAATCGACATAATCGATTATTGAAAAAGTTGTCAACTTTTTCAATCATCGATTAATCGGCTTCTGATTGGTTGGCCCTGTTCACGGCTCCACACACGCTGCGCGCCACACCTCCTCCCCACCTCACGTTTGCCGCTCCCGGGCCCCGCCACATCCACGCTCCACACGCAGCACCTCCTCACGCTCACCGCCCGCCCATGATCGGCACAGGGACGCGGGTAGAAGAAGTAAGTTGCTGGAAGACTGCTCAGGTAAGCCTGCACTCCCCCACATGGTGCTCCTATAATGTATTGCTGGGATTTGTATTCCTCTATAGCTGATGGTACATTCTGCTGTACTGTATATTGTACAGATCAATGTACCATCAGCTATAGAGGAATACAAATCCCAGCAATACATTATACACTGTATGTATAATGTATTGCTGAGATTTGTTGTATTCCTCTATAGCTTGTGGTATTCTGTATTGCGCTGTATAGAGGACTACAAATCCCAGCAATAATACATTATAAAGTGGAATACCACCAGCTATAGAGGAGTACAACAAATCCAAGCAATAATACATTATACAGCGCAATGCAGAATACCGCCAGCTATACTGTACTGTTGCTGGGATTTGTTGTATTCCTCTATAGCTGGTAGTATTCTGCATTGTGCTGTATAATGTACTATTGCTGTGATTTGCAGTCCTCTATAGCCGGTGCCAGTCTTCATCATTGCTGTATAATTTTACATTTTACTATATTGCACACCACACTTTTTTGTTTTTCTTTTTTACTTCCACCGCTCCAAGCTTGCTCCTGTGATGGACTGCAATCTCAATACAAACTAGTAGTCCCATCACTGGAGCCATTTTTAAAAATGTATTTTATTTTTTTATCCGATTAACCGAACTTAATAATCGGCTAACTAATCGATTTTGAAAATAATCGTTAGCTGCAGCTCCAGCGTCCAGCCTGCTTTAGGGCCTAAGCCGGATCGAGATCTGCATAACTAAGAGCTTTTGAATAATCACACAGCCTTCAGATGCATTGAAAGAAATTAACAAACAATTCGGGGTGAAGGACTTACACTGCATCATTAACTGGTGAGACCTATCCAACATATGCACCCATACATGGAAGATTTACATTGTCCAGATCTAATTGGAAACTCTGGTGTAACATGGGTTTGTTGGGTTACAGCGCCTCAAGACGCCCAGATTTTCCCAGTGGTTTGCAGTGAAGCATGTTTGCTTGGATCACTACTTGATGTTCATGAATACATTGAATAGTGGAGAATAGCATATGTTGAAAAACTGAAGTCTAGAGTGTTTAACATCCTGCTCTACGGGGTTGAATACTGGATCACAACTGCGGAGGTGTGGATGGGGATCAGTTATGCAGCTTTCCCTCAGTACCCTGTATTTGCATAAGGTTGCTCTGGTGGCACTCAGAGTCTTGGACTGAGTTCAATGTAGTTCTTCCTGGAACAATATGCACGTATAAAAAAAACAAATATTGATACATGCTGAAGATGTGAACTTTTCCATTGCTATACACTGTATCTGTGTTTGTGCGCATACAATAAGGAATACAAAATAAAATATATATTAAGTGGATACATATGGTTACAAGTTCAATACAAATCATAAAAACAACCTAAGTGTTCTGGGATACAGCTGGATACTTGATTACAAGCTCTTAATTTTGATCTCTGCAGACTGACCTGTGCTATGAACAACAACTAAAAATCAACCGTTTATACCTACAGTATCATCTGTGTGTATACATATACATACTATAGGTCCGCAGGCTTTACATGTGCTTGTTGATATATTTATTTGTTTTATCATGTATTTATTGATGGTGAAGTGGATATTTATAGAAATAAAATAATGTGATACTAATGATTTTTTCATGGTCATTAGTGCTTAGGGGAAATCTCTTTTATGTATTAATGTGTATACAGCACAACCGTGAGCAGCAAATATTAAGATACGCAGTTATATTTATTAAAAAAAATTGGGAGTTTTTTTCCCCCCCTTCTTGATATAATGAAATAAAATAAAATAAAAAGCCAGATTCTAAGAGAAAGGGGGTAAGGGTGAGACGGCAGAAAGTGGGTGAGGAAGGTGAAGGTTTACTTTAACTAAAGGAATCAATTTAATAAACTGTATTTACACAGCACACAACAACAACATATAAGTATAAGTGATCACTATTAATCACTTAGGGGGCTATTCACTCAACTACCGAAGGCCCAAAGTGAAGGGAGCCGAATGCCATTTGACTATTCACTTCAGCTGAGTATGGCTGACTTCAGCCATACATCGGCTGGCTTCGGGCTCCCTTTGGTTTACCTCGCTTCAGCTGAACAGTTCAACAGTCCAACATCTGGATCGACTGAGGCAAGCATATGGCAGTTCATTCACTGCTGTTCGCCACTATTCTCATAGGGGCTGAATAGAAGTGAGTGAATAGGTGAATGCTGCCGAGCAGCATCCGGCTCAGTTATTCTGCCCGCTACCTTAGAGGTAGCAGGCAGAATAAAACAAAATGTAAACAAAAGAAAAAAAAACAGCATAGGGTCCCCCTCCCAAACCATAATTTAGGTCTGGTAGGAATGTTAGGAGGCACCCCCAGTTAATTTGTTTTCTTAAAAGTGCCACCCACCACCAAAACATGGAAAACAAAATTGTGGGGTCCCCTCTAAAATTCCCAACCAGACCCTTGCAGGGCAGGAAAGGCGGGGATGAGCGAGAAACCCCCTCCCCCCCCGCCATACCAGGTCACATGCCCTCGGCATTGGGAGGGTGCTTTTCCAGGAGTACTGAAGCCTTTTTGAGCTGACTACACAGTGCCTCTGCTTCAGTGAAATCTCAGCCGGTGTTGTATGGCCTGCCCATTTCTTCCCACAGTTTATAGCTGAATAGCTCTTCCCCATATGTTATGGAGATTAGAAGAGGGGGCGGTGTTCTGTAGTCCAGAAAAATAGAGCTACGCAAGACTCAGTTCAGGAAAGGTAC